ACACACACACACACCCTGCTGCACACTCAAGGCAGGCATGCTCACACCCCCATTGGCACTTTCATTCTCTTTTCAAACTGACAAACAAATGTCATATATACGCACACACTGTCACATTCACACAAGCACACACCTGAATGTCCATGTGTATGTGCACAAAGCTCTGCCGAATGTAATGAACAATGCTGAGAAGCAAACACATTCTTTTGCATGAACACCATGTTCCAAGCTTTGTCGCACACTATCATGCATGAACACACAGAGAGACACATTCATGGAAGTTATGTGTGGGATGTGTTACTGCAGTGTGTGTATGTGCAAGCGTGGGATGGTGAGAGATCTTCATTAAAGGATGAACAGGAATGTGGGGTTAAAGACCAGATGGGGTGAGCAGGAAAAGGAAGCAATGAAAGAGGAGGCAAAGACAGAAATGGAGGGATGAGAGGCAGAGGAAGTGATGCAAAAAAAGGGCTGACAGATGGTTACATTTAATAATGGAGATGGAGAGGTGGCAATGAGCTGAATAATGCCAAATCAAAATAAAGGGTGCTTTCAGAAAGATGTGCTATTGAGGCTTTTGTTCTGGCAGGCAACACACAGGGTGACACATGCACACACATGTATACAAACACATGTTCACAGATAAAGTAGGGCTGTGAATATCTTTACTTTACACACCAAAAATAAAACCACAATCTCCACATACATCACAACACATCGAATGAAATTATGAGGTACATAACACGAGACAACAAGTTCAGCTACGAAGAACAGAGAGCTACAGAAGGCAAAAGTGAGGTTAGCCAGATTAGAAAAGAAGCAAATAGTGGAACAGAGAAAAACAAGAGGAAGAAAAGGGCAGAGATTCTATGTCTGGAAAATTAAGCAAGAGAGAGGAGAGTAAAGAGGAGAGTATAGAGAAGTGGAAGGGAGACATGTGATGACCCTTACCTTGACATCTGCCTTTTTGTTGAGCAATGTCTTAGCTGCTGCAATGACAAACAGGGAAAAATAACCAGTCAGAGGCGGAGACGAGCAGAGAGAAAGCAAAGCAACAATTACTTTTTCAGTGATTGACAACATCTGCTACATCTTTAACCTACATTGAAGCGATTACGTTCACTGTAAAATAATGTTCTTTATTGATCTCTTTAGTAAAATTGTCTTTTTGAAAAACAATGGCTCAACTAGGCTGAAAGAACAAGGGCACAGGGAGTTACAATTGTTTTACAAATGTAGCATTGTAACTCCTTCAGCTAGGCAACCCTGCAACCTTCAGAAGTCACAAGATACAATGAATAAGTACTGTATGAGTAACTGAACAATCTATTGCTCATACAGTACAACCAGCTTTGATATTTTTTCCTCACAAAAGCAACACACCCTTCAAATTAAGTTGTAATTTCATTAATTTGACAAAATTATTATGGTATTTATTTAAGCCTGTGTGAGGCTTTTGTTCAGTTGCTTGAACAGACATGAGTCACCATGTCTGGTCTCTAAAAATCACCCGGTGTGTAAAATCTCATAAATAATGTGCTTGGTGACAAAACTTTCAAAATAAAGACCCAGGCTGTCAGACCAAATTATGATGGAAAGGTTGGGTGCGACAGTGTGTTGTTATCCACGTATATCTTTCTCCTTCTAGTGATGTTGTACAGCCAAGATATCTTCTGAATAACTCTCAGCAATCAATACAGAACCGTGTGTGTGTATAAAGCTCATTATGCAATCACACAATCTGTAAACTAAATATGTGCATTAGATTCATGTAAGGGCTTCTATTGATCTAGCAAGGTACAACCTAGGTTACACGCTGTTGAATGCTAAAGGACCAAAGTGGAAAAGTGTTGCCTCTAGACGCAAAACCCATCACCGTGGTTATTTTCCCTCTCTTTTAGACTAGCTACACAGTCCAATTGCTTTAGGGTCACAACCCAATTCTTTGTCAACAATACAACAATACAAGGACGTTGTTGTCAGTGAAATAAAAATGTATTATAATGAATTAGTTCCCATCAATTCTTGTGCCAAAGTCCCCTAATGGCCACCAGGAACCCAAAACAAAGATGGCTGCATGGCAACCAACTAAACCCGACAATAAGCCTTGCCTTAAAGAACTCTGTAGGGGCCTTAAGGAGGATTAGTCTTGTGTCTGCTTTCTAATGAACGGTAATGGGGGATGGGGTGAGGGAGGAGGGTAGTAGAGGAAGAATGATACTGTAGACACAGTCCTCTGATGAGCATAATACCCATAATCCCTTAGAACAGTGGAAACTGCGTGTAGACAACAAAAGACAGTCCGCAGGGCATTCACCATGACTGCACTGCCAAAGCACAGATAGCTAGGTGGTCCGATTGCATTAGATAGATACACGTTCACCCAGAGGGGCCCTAAAATAAGAGCCTGACTCTCTCGATGTGCTAGTGGAGGCTGTGGGTGTGTCTGTGACGATGCAGACAGAGGATTAACACTAACAAGACACCAGATGTTGATGAGATTGGAGAGCAAATGTGTGTATTTTCACTGTTTAAAAGTTGATACCAAAATGCACTGGGTGGGACTTGTTAGTACTGTACAGCACCAACCCTGGACACACACATACAAAAAAAGACTTCAGGCACATAGGAAATGATGAGTTTTACATTTCCTACTTGAATGATAATCTGTTTGGTTATTATACATGTCCAACAGTTAAAAGCCTTATTTTGAGTTCTCTGTGGCTGCGTCTCTGTGACTGTAAATAAACGACTGGTTAATAGTTCAACAATTTTCCATTAGACGTTATCCTTACTGGGACTTTTTAAAACGGCTGAGTGCAATTTCGAGTCTAATCAGATGCAATCACATCAGCAGCCAGCCACATTATATAAAACACTATTTCTGGCGGTCTGGGATGTTTTCTTTCTCTCTGCCTCTCTCTTCATTTCTTTTTCTTTCCCTCTTTCCTCTAAACATCAGACAAAGTTCCTGTTTTTTTTCACTTTTGTTTTCGAATAAGCATCCAAGCTGGTTACACTAGATTTTCAGCTGAAGCCTGAATTCCATTAGTATTTCCTTTAGGCATTGATTTCTTAAGGGGAACAGAGGTCCAATGACAAGGAGGCCACTTCAAAGTCTAGTTGAGGCCTAGCTCAGTATCTTACAAGCTGACTTTTTAAGCTGTCACACAAGACTGTGATGGACAAAGTGATATAGGGGAGATAATGTGTTGAGAATACATTATTGCCACCATTTGTCCTAGCTTTATTTTTATTTTACGTTTATGCCTCAGTGATATAGTATCTCATGTTTGAAGTAAAGTTTGCATATTCAGCAGTCAACGGAGGAGCAACCGGAAGCGATAAAGAAGCACTACGTAATACGGAGGGATGTGAGAGTGGCATGAATGCACATGGTTTATTGTTGAGCTGTTCTTCCTCCTTCCAAAGGCTGGTTGTTACTGATGAGAAGAAATGGGGTCAGAATAGTGTCAGTAAGAGTAAGAGTAAGGAGAACAGGAACCCAAGTGATAAGGGTATTTCACTGTGCTCTTTCTAAACACCATTATTCTGTCAAAGTGGCGAACTGGATCTTCTAAAAAACCTGAACTGAAGGTTGCTAAAAATGGCTTCAATTCCCGTGACGAAGAGGAAATCTCCGTGGAAACCTGAAAAATCAAAAGGTAGCTTAATTCAAACCGGAGGTGGAGAAGCAAGGGGCGCTCCTTACCTTGCCACAAATTACACATGAAGCAAGAAGAGAGAGGAGGAAGAGATTAAAACAAAAGCACCGTGATAAAATCCCACTAAAAACACGCAAGATGCACCACTGCAAGAGCGAAGCAAGGATGGGCATGGATTCACTTGAAGATTATGTAGGTAATTATACAAGCTGAAAAAAAGCCTTCTGGAAATGCATTAAGCTAATGGAGGAACCCACTCAGGTGCAAAAGTTTTTCGACACATAGCATGTTGAAGGCCAGAATTATATATACATACAATACATTTAAAGATACACTTGCTCTACTCCTGCATGAGGACAGGGTGAGGTCTAGTACATAGTGATTATTATTGTGTATGAATATGCAAGATAGAGCGAGGACTCCAGTAAGCCAGTGAGGCAGAGTGAAGCTGATAGGGGGAGACAGCCCACTATAAATATTTGATTGGAGCCTAGTGGAGGCTGAGGGACACAGAGAGGACTGTGGAGTCCCAGTGGTCCACAGAAACAAGGACACTGCTTCTGTCTCCGCAGCTCAATGGTAGACTGTTGTGTGAAGCTTTTTGTCGTTTATGCCTGCGATTCATTTCGCCATACCCAGAACAAACACATTAGGTCCGGTTCAGATTTATTAAAATGCCCTCCGAATCAACTGCTCTTGCACTTTGCTGTTATATATAGTATATATAGTGTTGAAAATACTAAAATAAACAGACTTAACAAAATGTCACTTATTGGTGTCTGAAGGAATGTTTTAAAGCTTTCATTTGGATTTATAATTAATTACATTTGGATCAGCATTAAGATCCTTCAAATAAACAACATGTTTTACTTCCACCATCTACTGACAAGAAAATATTAGATTTACTGTACATTTGTCAGGGGGACAGAAATAAGACTCTAAAAAGAGTGCTCTGTGTCTGCTGGATGCGTGTATAGGCAGTTGTTTGCAAATAAGGTTAGCTTATGTTTTACTTAGGCCAAGTCAAGATTATACATGACTTAATACACCTTTAAGACATTTCAACTGTGGTGGCAGCTGTTTGCTTTTTATGCCTTAAGGTGTGATCAGATTATAGCTGTACGCTGGCTAGCAATAGACACACTGACTGTTTTGTGTGAGTGTCTGTGTGTGTCTTTTTATTATTATTATTTCCTTCCTATTCCCTTATAATATTTTTTCATTTTTCAACTTGTCTTTGTGCGTTTATGAAGCTCCTAGTAAATGTGCCTTTTTTGGTCCAGTTGGATTATTTCCCCCTTGTGCAGACAGCGCAGTCTCTAAAATATGTGCTGTGTTCTGAATAAACACACAGGGAGACTACAAATAGGCTACAGAGCTTAAAATTTCACTTCATGAGAACCAGCCCAGCCTTGCATCTTCCACAGTGTTCACCATGCACCAAAATCCCCCCGTGTTGCAGCGCATGCACCAGTCCAGTGCCCCATGCAGCATTCACTGACAGCTCTTGGGCAGTTCCATCCTTAAAGTGACGGGGGCGAACTTTCCAGTGTCATTGTTAGACAGAGAAAAGAAGAGAGAGGGAAAGAGTAGAGGGGGAAAAGTGAGATGTGACATTATGAGGGAAAGAGGGAAAGTGGGAGTGATGCTAGTTGAGTTGTAGAAAAGTGTAGGGTGACTTGAGAGACAACAGTGATCAGAAATGTTGAAATTGACAGAATATAGGATAGGGAATGGGGTAAAATGGAGTGGTGTTGTGAGGTGGGAGAAAAATAGTGAGAAGAAAAAAAGAGAAACAGAGACAGGAGTTTGGCTAGGTCGAGGCCATGCTCTCTGGCTGCATTTAGAGATGAAGATGAAGGGATGAATATGGGTCGGTATTGATGACAGAGATGGGCAATGGAGCCACCCAATCAGATCTCTGACAGGAGGGGACAGATGTGCTGACCTGCAGTAGCTAGGCTTCCATCCAAGTCCTTTACTAATTATAAAGCATTAACATAGAATGGGCAAATGGAAACTGAAATATTCACTAAAAAATCTACATTATTGCATTATTATTATCATCTGGTTTGCTTTAAATGAGGCTTTCCTCAATAAGGACAATTAGCAAAAAAATAGCAACAGAGGCACATTTGACATATAATAATTCCTTGAAAAACTATACCTACTGTTGCTCTATGTGTTTTAACACTTAGCTATATTAAATTAATGCTTTCCTTGGATAAAAACATAAAATATGGCCAACAACAGCTGAATATCGTTGAAATTTGTAAGACTTTTCCATCTTTTATTGTTTAAAAAAATCCTTACTTGCCTCAACTCAATGGATGGAAAAATACCATAAAACCTGCATAAAAACTGCTAAATAGATGGAAACGTAGCTAATGCTGCAGATTGTGAATAAATGGGAGATGAAGTTTGCGATGTGGTCAGCCATCATGCTCTGAGCTCCCATGCTGAGGAAGGAGGGAGGGAGGGAGGCAGAGGAAAATGAAAGAGGGAAAATAGAAGAAGAGGAAGTGTAAAACACAGGAAAAGAGAGAGGGAGGGGGAGAGGGGTAGCGTGCCCTGGGTGAGCCACCATGCTACCTTGTTCCAGCCAAGGCCCCTGCCGGTGGTGGGCCGGCGGCGTGCAGACACCTGCAGCTTGGCGCCGCAGCTGACAGAGGCTGGAGCGGTGGTCTGCCTGTGCCCACTGTTTAAAGTCCATACCCCGTCACGTGGAAAAAGAGAGTTACAAGGAGGGTGAGAAGAAGTGAATGGGGAACGGGATACAGATGGAAAAGAGGTGAAGAGACATTTAGAAAGAAGGGTAAAAGAAAAGAACGTGAAAGGAAGGGGTGAGTCAGAGACACAGCAGGAGGTAGGTGGGCAGGGTGGGGGAAAAGAAGGTGAGACACAAAAAGGCAGAGACAAACAGGGCTCATTAGTTTAGAGAA